CGCTGCGGGGAGGGGGGCCGGGTTGGCGGGGGACCTGGGGTGAGCGTGTGCCGGTGCCGCCTCTCTTCCAGCTGCGGGACTTCCTGCTGGTCTACAACCGGATGACCGAGCTCTGCTTCCGCCACTGCGTCTCCAACCTCAACTACCGCCTGCTCACCGGGCGCGAGGTGAGGCCCCGGGGCTGTCCGGGGGCGGCCAGAGGCCACGGTCCGGCGGGCAGGCCCTGCCTGGAGGCCCCCTCGCCGCTCTGATCCTCCCCGTCCCACAGGAGACGTGCCTTGAGAGCTGTGCCGGCAAGCTGGTCCACGCCAACCACCGCTTGATGCGCGCCTACGTGGCGCTGATGCCCTCCCTCGTGCAGCGCCGCGCTTCCGACTATGAGGCCAGCGCAGCCCAGGCGTCCCAGATCTCCGCCACGGAAGGACCGGCGGCGGTGGCGATGCCTGCCCTGCCAGGGGCTGGGGGACCAGGAACCGCTCCTGACCCGCTGGCAGCTCCGGGCCCCAGCGGACCCTCGCAAGGGGCTCCGGGTGCTGGCACGTAGCACAGCTGTCATCCTGGGTTGCACCTGCCGACGACGGCAGCAGTGGGCCAGGTGGCGACAGGACGGAGCCAGGCCCCGCGTTACCGGCGGGAGAAGTAACGTCTCGGTGCTGTGGTGCGGTCTGGGCCTCCGCATGCTGCCGGCAGCCCTGGGCCGGAGCCGCAGATCCACTCTGCGCCCAGACCTGGCCTTGAGCGTCTGCGTCCTCTAGGGCATCAGCATTGAGAGCCTCCTGGCAGTGGCCAAGCCTGTTCTGTGCCAGCTGGGGCTGGTGGGGGGTGCAGAGGGCACCAAAAAAGAAATGGCAGTGTCTGCCCTTCCAGCCAGGGGAGTTCCCTCCTGAACTGTGTCCTAACAGCTCCTGTGCTGGGTTTTCCTGCTCCAGACCTGGGGCACTAGTATTGCAAGGAAATGGTTTCCTAGTGCTAATAAAACATTTTTTCATTAACGTTTTGCTGTTAATGTGTCGTGAGGGTGAGTAGAGCCATGGCCCCGCTGGTCCCTCCTGGATGGTGCACCCCATGGGGGCAAGGGCTGCTGTCCCTGGGGCGCAGGGTTGGTGTTGCTCGTTCTGGGAGCCCTTTTGGAGTCCTTCCCCACTTTGGCTGTTGGCATCAGAACAGGCTGCAGGGTATGGCTCCGTGGGTACGAGCCCTTCCTCAGTGAGGCAGCAGAACTATCCTCGTGGAGCACAGACAGGTCTGGCCCTGGGTACAGCAAGGAGGTGGTGGAGGCAGCTGAACCCAGTGGGCTTCAGAGTGGGGTCATTTCAAGGCTGTGGTGGGTTGGGGCTTGCCAGGTCCAGCCACTGAGGCCAAGTGCTTTCCCGGGTGGTGCAGGGCATGCCAGCAGTGTTGGTGCGGTGGTGCAGCCCCCCGGGCCACGCTGCAACGTCAGGACCAGCCAATGTCATGTTCTTGTGCAGCGAGTTGGGACAGTCTGGTACTTCCTTATCCCAACTACAGTACAGTGAGTCAGGACAATTAGGCACCCCCCAACTGCACCTTGGGCTCCTGTTGCCTGGATCTGTACCTGAGACTCCTGCTGCCTGCGTTGTGACTCACTTTTGTCATTGCCTGACAAGAATTAATGGCTAGAATGGAATTACACTGACCAAAGCCAGTCATCTCACAAACTGATAAACAGTGGTCCCAAGTGAGGCCCTTTGAGCTCTCCTGGACTGCAGCGGGCTGTGACCAGCATCTCCCACTGAGGGGGATGCTTCTTGGAGCTCGTGGACTCTCCAGTTTGCAAAAATCGGAGGACCGTTGCTGAAAGCTGACAACGGGACCTGGGCTGATACCCTTTGCCCGTTGAAGCTCAACCCTTTGCCTGCTGAGAAATAATGAGGCATTTGATGTGAATGTTTCACTGAATGAAAGGGTAATTTTTAACAGGTATACCTCTGTTTGTATATATCTATATCTATCTCTTAGTGTCTGTCTGCGTGCGTGTGTGAATTGACCTGGGTATCCAATAGTAGGTATAGTATAAATATTGCCCTTTCGAATCTATAATTAAGTCACTGTTGTGATTGTAGTAAATACTATTGAATCACTTTGTAAATGTTAAATCAGTCAAGGATTAAGTGCTGCTAAATCTTGTGATTCTCCTTAAGCTGTGGATGAATCTTAGATGGCTGCTGCTGCACACATATAATCCCTTAAAACATAAACCGTTGCCCAAGTCTGGGGCTAGGAGTGGATCCAGCCACACCTAAGGTCCTTCAGGAGTTTAGAAAGCAAGGGGGTCTTCCCTGAACCTTGTGACTCAGTGGGAGGGGCTTCCCCTACCCTTTTGTGTCTTCGGTCTCTGCATAAATCATTCTAGTTTGATTCCAACTTGACTGCCTTTGTACACTTCATCCACGTGTTAAGTAATAGAGCGAACCTTGCCATCCAACTTTGTGAAGTCGCGCTTTTATAAACTCCTATTGCATCACTTTTGCTAATACCCTTGACGATGATTCTTTAAGTGGCCCAAACCACTCATTTGCAATGGTGACAGGCATGGAGTGCGCAAGGTGTTGCCTCTGCTGGCAACCACGTAAACATCCAGCCTTGCCCCACACCTGACTGGCACATGCTGCCGCTCCGGCTCCTGTCTTGCTGGCGAGGATTGATGGATGCCGGTGGAGCGTGGGCGCTGGGTGCCCGCACTGGCGCTCTGCCCGGGAGGTGCCCCAGGCCCCGCTCTGCTCCGGCCCCACACAGGCTGCTCGGGCTGGAAGCCAGCTGGCACCGCCACCTCCCCGAGGGACAGCCACCGGCTGAGACATCTTTGCCTTCCTCTCCCTGGGTCCGGCAGCCCAGCCCACGGAGGCTGGTGACCCTGCTCACCGCACACTGGGACCCCCTGCCATGGCTGGGGGCTGCGGGGCTGCCACGGCGGAGCTGCTGCTAAGGGGCTCACCGCCAGCATGGGCCAGGGGCTGCAGCCCCACGTGGGGCCCAGATGTGGCCTCACCAGCGCTTCCCCTGGTGCAGGATCCAGTGCACAGCAGCCATCACTTCTGGGGTGTGGTGCTGCCGCGGAGCCCCCGACTCAGTGCCACCAGTTCGGGCACTGCTGGGCAGCACAGGGCATGGCGCATCCCGGCTTTGGCCGGCCCGGAGCTGACATAGGCAAGAGACGGGCTCACGTGAAAGCAGCATGCTTGCTTCTGGTGCAGTGAGCTTTTGGGTTTCGTATTGCAGAGACTGGAAACATTTATACAATAGAAATAAAAGAGCATAAGCTTAACATACGTTTGATGTCAGGCTCTAGTTCTGGCTACGATTAAGTAAACTTTGGCGCATTTTTCTGAATTCTCAGTGACCCAGTATTGGTTTACCTCTTACCACAACGATGCAAAACCCGCACTGGCATCTGTCTCCTGCTGAACCCACATGCCGACGGCTGCTCCTGCTGGCGGCTGCACCCTGTGCTGGCACAGCCCACAGCTGCTTCACACCGTAGCACTGCTCTGAGTCAGTTGGGGTCAGGAGAAGCTGCTGGGATGGCTTTGTGTGACAACAGATGGATTTGACAAAAAAGAGGGAACTCGGGCCATTTGTTTCGTTTTGTTTATCATCTCTTTCAAATACTTGCAAGCTCTTGGCACCGTGCATCGTCTGCCCTTGCATTTACCAGCATGCAGGAGCTGGAGGAAGGGAAGGGGAAGGGAACTCTGTAGTGCAGTTCCTCTTTGGCTCATAGTTAACATGGATCTCCCATCTGCCACGTTTAAGGGACTAAGCTGTTGCAGATGCTGAAAACTAAAGCCCGTTGAAGATTTGTCACGTAAGAGCAGCCCCTCTGATATTTTTCCAGGGCCTTTCTTGCCATACGTCCTTAGATGGCAAATCCAGCTGTGCTGTGGCAGTGGCCAGCTGTGAGCAGTGTTACCAGGGAGGTTCAGTCTGGCTGCCAGCAGGGAGCCAGGAGAGGTCCCTGAAGCAGCTGCGTGGTGTAGGCACAGGGTGCCTGGCAGAACATCTTCCTTGCCTTGGCGAGGTCCCTCGGCAAAGGTTGCCGAGGAGCGACTGGTGCCATGGAGAAAGGGGGCAGGTCCTTTGTTGGGAAGTGACCGAGTAAAGAACAGGAGCAGGGGAGAAGGTTGTTTTTCCCTGCGGAAGGAGGTCGCCAGGGAAGTCCCACAGAGACCCCTGCGGGGACCACTGCTGGTCAGCCTGTGCACAAGCGATCTGGATGCACTGTGGCAGAGAGGGAGGCGAGAAAGTCTATTCACAGCACTGAGCTAACTAACACAGCTAATTAAGCTCTGAGGAGCTGCAGCAGGACATCGCAGTACTGTGTGATACAGGGGCAGGATAAACTCAGTGTAAATAAATGGAAAGGGGCACCCATTTCACATTTTGCCTGTGAAGTGATGAGTTCTGAGCTGGCCACTGCCACTCAGGGGTCAGATCTCCAGGGGATGACAGCTGTTTCTATGCAAATGGCAGTTCAGTTCTCAGGGATGGTCAAAAAGCAAATCAAGTGCTAGGAAAAGGAGTGAAAGTAATAGTGGAGGACAAAAGAGAACCTCCTTATGGTCCTCTTCTCAAACTGGAAAAGGTCCAGGGAGTGGCAGCAAGGGTGGTCAGAGGGCTGGAGCAAGTGAGCAGGCTGTGCATCCTTGGTGGGAAAAGATGCTTGCTCCATTCCTGTACTGGATCCTGGTCTGACCAAGAGCGGTTGCTGAGTGGGGCAGTAGTTGCTCTTTCAGTCTGTCTCAGAATACGGCTTTAACAAAAGCTGCTTTGCGTAATGCAAGTTATTTAGGTCTGTTGATTTCAAAGTGTTATGTTCTAGCAAATACTTAACATCCTTCTAAATTTCTTGTCCTTTCTTGCTTGCCAAGAACCGACAGCTTCACAGCCGAAGAAAGTGGAAAAGATCTCACAAGCTGCTTCTGTCTGAAAATTTCCTCCTGACCGAGTTTAATGTGGGCTTTCCTCAGCTGTGGGAAATGAACATTTTTGCAGCATCAGCTACACCTGTTGCTGGCTGCGACTGTCCTCTGCTCACTGCTGTGCAATGCAGCGGAGCACAGACGCTGGCCCCACAGCCGCCCGGCCGTCAGCTAGTCTTGCTCAAAGATTTGTCTGCAGCACCCTTTGTGCTAAAATTTATGGATTAGAATGTTCCAGGCACTCCAGTGATTTACTTTGGGCTACCTAGTGGCTTCAGCATCCATCTCCCAAACTAAGCCCTCCCATTATGAGACAGTGTTTCTCCTACATATGGCAAGCTGATATTTGCAGCAAACACCCAGTTCCCTTCCCCGGAGGGCGCGGTCCCAAGACACCTCTGACAGACGCATGGTGCCGAGCTGTCAGCTGTAAAAGAAATGCTGGTGTCCTTAACAGCAGTTACGTCATTTTCCTCACACACATGCACTTATTTTAATCCATGTTATTGCTCCTAATCAGATTATAGGCAGAAAGTCTTGGCAGGTCTGTCTGTGTGCATAAGCAGGTGAGTGTGAAGCCACACACGGGGAGACTGATGTGAGAATCCTTGCTGTAACCTGGCTGCTTGATGTCTGGCAGCGACAGAGGACAGGACCATCGGGGTATCTGTCATCTTTACAGGTTCCAGGCTTGCACGGAGCAGCTCCAGGTGCCAGAAATTCCTCTTCCCAGAGGGCTGCTCATTTGCCTCCCCAGGCTAGCCATCACACGGCAGAACTGCTGTCAGTCCTGCTGTTTGGCGTTACTTTTCTCCTGGTTGTTTTTCTCCTCTGCTGTCCAGCTCCCGCAGTCTGAGCCTCCCCAGACTGCAGTGGTTCCCACTGAAGCCGAGATAGGTCTCCCGTGCTGTCCCCAC